TGACGCGCCCCTACCGGCCCCTGCAACCGAGCCCCTGCCGGACCCTGCAAACGAGCCTCTGCCGGCCCCTGCTGGCACGGCCCCTGCTGGCGAGCCCCTGCCGGTCCCTGCTGGCGCGGCCCCTGCTGGCGCGCCCCTGCCGGCCCCTGCAAACGAGCCCCTGCCGGCCCCTGCTGGCGCGGCCCCTGCTGGCGCGCCTCTGCCGGCCCCTACTGGCGCCCCCCCTACAGTCTCCCTACACTGGTCCTACTGGAGGTCTTGCTGAGCGTCGTGAGCCTGCGTCTCGCCCTGCGTCGCCTGTCCGTCCTGCTCGCACTAGTGGTCGTGGTTCGCGTCAGCGTCCTCCTCCTGTCCCTGGCACGCACCGGATGTCTCTGCGTCCGTCCACTGCTCCTCTGCGCGCCCCTTTGCCTTCTCCTCCTGAGTCCTCTCTTCCTGCTCTTCCCGACCCGGAGTCGGACTCTCTTCGTGCTGCCAGTCCTACTGTCACGCGTCTCCTTGCTACTGTTGTCACTGACCCTTCCTTTGAGTCCACTGCTGCGTCTGCCCTAGTTGCTGAGCTCGTCGACTTTGCTGCTCGCTGTCGTCTAGACTACGCTGCTAGTCTTGTCGATGAGTCTGAGTCTGTCTGTCCTCCGTCCATCGGGGGTGAGTGTGCCCTTGGCACGGACGTCCTTGAGGACAGGCAGGAGGAGTTCCAGTGTTTGGCTGCTGCTTCACCTCATCTCGTGTCCGTACTGCTTACCCCTGAGGGAGACCCGGATGCACTTGACATCCCGACTCCGCGCTCTTACGCGGAGGCGATAGAGGGTCCCTACTCCTCTCAGTGGCAGGCAGCTATGGACACAGAGATGGCTTCCTGGAAGTCCACAGGCACCTACGTTGACGAGGTTCCCCCGCCTGGGGCGAACATCGTCAGTGGCATGTGGATTTTCAGGGTGAAGCGACCGCCGGGTTCTCCGCCTGTCTTCAAGGCGCGTTACGTGGCTCGTGGCTTCAGTCAGCGGCAGGGAGTTGACTACTTTCAGACCTTCTCTCCCACCCCGAAGATGACCACTCTTCGGGTACTGCTGCACATAGCTGCTCACCGCGACTACGAGCTGCACTCTCTTGACTTCAGCACTGCTTTCTTGCAGGGCAGCCTGCACGAGGAGATCTGGCTGCGTCGCCCACCTGGCTTCACTGGGTCTTTTCCTCCTGGCACCCAGTGGAGCCTCCGGCGGCCAGTCTACGGTCTCCGCCAGGCACCGCGTGAGTGGCACGACACACTGAGGACTACACTTGCGGCTCTTGGGTTTGCTCCCTCTACTGCCGACCCGTCGCTGTTTCTGCGCACCGACACTTCTTTGCCGCCGTTCTACATCCTCGTGTACGTCGACGACTTGGTCTTTGCCACAGCTGACACTGCTGGACTCGCCCACGTGAAGTCCGAGCTGCAGAAGAGACACACGTGCACAGACCTGGGTGAACTGCGCAGCTACCTTGGCTTGCAGATCACCCGGGACAGAGCACGCCGCACCATTACCCTGACTCAGTCACACATGGTGCAGCAGGTCCTTCAGCGCTTCGGCTTCACGTACTCCTCGCCTCAGGCCACTCCTCTGCCTACTCGCCACTCGCTCTCAGCTCTGCCTTCGGATGAGTCCGTAGAGTCGAGTGGCCCGTACCCAGAGCTTGTTGGCTGCCTCATGTACCTGATGACCTGCACACGACCTGACCTTGCATACCCTCTTAGCATTCTCGCACGCTATGTTGCTCCTAGGAGACACAGACCGGAGCACATGGCTGCAGCGAAGAGGGTGTTGCGCTACTTGTGCAGTACGTCGGGCATGGGGCTTGTGCTTGGAGGGCAGAGTCCAGTGGTCCTCACTGGGCACGCAGACGCTTCTTGGGCTGACGACCAGGCTACGCAGCGGTCGTCACAGGGTTACACCTTCAGCCTTGGTTCCGGCTCTGTTTCGTGGCGGGCTATCCGCTCGTCTTCTGTTCTTGGCTCCAGTTGTGAGGCTGAGATCTACGCCGGGGCCATGGCTGCACAGGAGCTTCGCTGGCTCACCTACCTGCTGACTGACCTCGGAGAGCCGCCTCGTTCTCCTCCAGTGCTGTACGTAGACAACAAGGCCATGCTGGCCTTGTGTCGAGAGCAGAGACTGGAGCACAGAACGAAGCACATTGCTCTCCGCTACTTCCTTGCTCGTGAGCTACAGCAGCGTGGTCAGCTGCGCCTTGCGTACGTGGCCTCTCAGGCCAACACTGCTGATATCTTCACCAAGGCACTTGCGCCTTGTGATCATCAGCGCTTCTGTACTCAGCTGGGTCTTGTGCCTACCTTGCCTCACTTGCTCACCCCTTGACCTTGTTTGTACTGTTGCATATATATATACACCTGCTCTTGCTTGTCTAGCCTTATATATATATGTAATCCTGCATGTGAACTGGCCTTGTGGCCTTGAACTTGTGCTCGGAATGTGTGGTGACTTTGTGATCCACCCTGAGCTTGCTTTGCTTTGCTTGACTGGTCTTGTGACCCCTTGTTCTCCCCCACTTTGCCTATGGGGGTGTGTCAGATTTATATGACATAGCTACTGTAGGCTATAGTGGGGTAGCACATATGGGGTACAGTTTTCTAGGGTTTGTATTTTTGTACCCAACTTTCCCTTAGTCAATTCATTCTCGTTCAGTTTCTCACGAAGATCTTCTTCGCGTCGCTGAACTGGCAAAGCCGGGCGACTGGATGTTCTCGGTTGACTTAAAGTCTGGCTATCATCACATCGATATTCATTCATCTTGCTGGTCATTCCTAGGCTTTCACTTCGAAGGCACCGACTATTTTTTCAAGTCGTTACCGTTCGGCCTCGCTACAACGCCCTTCCTGTTCACCCAGTTGATCAAGCAGTTGGCACGGAAATGGCGAGCGCAAGGTATTCGGGTCGTACCCTATGTGGACGATATATTGTTCCTTTGCGACTCGGAACAGGACGCTCGTTTGAAAAGTGGTGCAGTCATTCGAGACCTCAAGGAGTCAGGGCTCGTCATCAACGCAAAAAAGTCACACCTGGCCGCGACTCAAAGATTGCACTTCCTCGGAATGGAGCTGGACACCGCATCCGGGAGATTCACTATTGGCCAGGAGAGAAAGGCGCAACTTACACAAGCACTACGTGTGCTGCTTCTCGCTTACGAGCGCAACCAGCGGGTTTCAATCCGCCTCGTCGCCCGAGTCACTGGCATTCGTGCATCCATGGCGCTCGCCCTTGGCGCGACGGCGCGCTCTTTCAGCCATCAACTTTCGACACTTATTAATGAGGCGCCATCATGGAATGCACGGGTGACGCTGACCTCGGAGGTTCGCGACGAGCTACAATTTTGGCTTGACCATTTTGACCGTTTTAACGGGGCCCCGTTTCACATGCCCCACAGTCTGGATACCGTCATTCACGTCGACGCTAGCGCGCACAGTTGGGGTGCAACCCTTTCATCCTTCCCCGGCGGAAGCTCGCAAGGAAGCAGCCCCATGCCAAAAGAACTTCTCTCCACATCGAGCACACGCCGAGAGCTTGAGGGAGTGTTATGGGCGCTGCAGACATTCACGGACCAGATCCAAGGCCGCCACGTACTCATTCGAGTGGACAACCAAGGCGTCTTCTTCATTCTTCGCAAAGGCGGCTCTCGCCAGCCTGAGCTCACTCTTCTGTGCAAGGCCATCGTCGCAATTTGCACGGCGCACGAAACCTGGCTGGCCATCGAATGGATTCCACGGGCCCTCAACGCGCATGCAGATGCACTGTCCAAGTTGGAAGACCACGATGATTACTCGCTCAAGCTCCCCTGGTTTCGATTATTGGACAGGCGTTGGGGATCACACACCATCGACCTATTCGCGAACGCCAACAACGCACAGCTCTCGCGCTTCTGCGCTAAACATCCGCACCCACGCGCAACTGCCATAAATGCATTTTCGCTCCATTGGGGATTAGAGCACGGCTTCGCATTTCCGCCACCGAGCCTCATCCCCGTGACCCTGCACCATGCCGCACGCACGAACGCCACAATGACGCTGGTCATTCCCGAATGGACAGGCGCTGCTTGGTGGCCCCTAATCAGACCCTCCCCACACACCTGGGCAATCGGCATTTCCTCCATCCTCTATCTTGCTAGTGGTAGTCAATGCTTGCATGTGGGCTCCCATGAACATGCATTTTCGGGTGCTGGGCTTCCAGTCAGTCGAATCCTAGCACTGAAAGTCAATTACAAATCTTGATGTACCATTCTTGTATTCTATGATTACAGATATGCTTCCAAGGTTGCACCACCAGCTACTTCTTATGACAGCCAAGACACGATCGGAATCAACAATCAACACATACGAACCATACTGGGAGAAGTTTCGCAGCTTTTGCATTAAGGCTAGAGTGGATTTCTTGCCTGCTGCAGATCTCACACTAGCACTCTACTTAGTGCACGCAATCAACCACAAGGCCACAGTCTCCAGCGTACAGCTCACATGCGCTGCAGTCAGCTTTGCCCATCGCATGACAGGGTCAGCCAACCCAGCGAACGGCCCGTTCACAACGCAAGTCCGGGAGTACGCCAAACGACATTGCCCTCGGCCAACACGAGTGAAAGAGCCCGTCTCCCTTCATCAAGTCCAGGCAATGGCGGGACCTTTTGCATTTGCAAGAGGCGACCTCGACCCAGTTGAAATGAGACGTTGCATTTGCAAGACAAATAGCAAGCTTTCACAATTTGATTTTGCAACACCATTGTTGCACTTTTAGATGGAATAATAGTAGCTTGAGATTTCACTATTCCATCCTTTTATTTACAGCAGCATCATCATTGTTGGAAATATAAGGGGGTGCATGGTAATGCAGAGAGAACGACTTCAGGACATGCATAGGGGAGTACTTGTGCATAGTATGAGGGTTCCTTTAGTTACTGCTTGTGACGCCATCAGTTGCTGGTCTGATGCTAATGCTATCCCAGGCCGAATGGGATGCCTACAAAAGCTCAGAAGATCCTCCAGGAGAGGCTAGGGAGTGATCGTGCTGCCACTCCGGGTGCTTGCACGACGCCTGGTGCAGCAGCAGAGTGGTTTCCAGCGCGGTTACCCTGCGCTGCAAGGTGTCGACATATGCGACTGCTTTGTGGAGCATGTTGGCAGTGTCCCCATGCCTGCGCACCACCAAGCGCAGCTTCTGCAGCCCCTCGCTGATCCGCTCCCGCCTCTGCCTCTCCGCCATGCTCCGCGCCTTGATACGCCCGCCCGCCATCTGCTGGTCCTTGCGCCCGCGGTTGCGCGGCATCCAATCGTCCGCGTCATCTGCTGCCCCATTGGCGCCTCTGCGCATGGGACTTTCGCCAAAACCCACCATGTCATCATCTGAATTGTCATAGTTCATCCAACTGTTGGCGATGGGCAGGCAAAACGGCATCTGCAGCGGGCCATGATGGGCAAACGTCCTGCCGCCAGCAGGGGTGGCATGAGTGGTAACCACTGGCAGCGCAGCCGCGGCGGGAGGCGCGGGAGCGGCGGCAGCAACGTGTGCGGGGCACGGTTTTCTCCGGAAGATGACAGCAGCAATCGCTCGGCGCAGCTGGCACGTCACCTCCGCGTCGCTTCCGCCCACGACAGGCGCAGCCGCGGAGGGCACCATCTTGATCTCCGCCGCCTTGCGCTTCCGCGACCCTGCTGCCAGCGCTGCGGGTGAGAGGAACTCCCTCTCATCGAGGGATTCCGGTGAGGAAGGCTTGTCGGCGGCCGCGGCGGGTTCGTCGGTGGCGGCGGGTTCGTTGGCGGCAGCGGTGTCGTCCGCTGAGTCCGCGAGAGCCTCCATAAGTGCTGCGAGCAGCTGCTTCCGCGCCGCACGCTGGGCCGCCACATTGCTCGCCTTCGCCTCACCGTTCTTTCCGCCGCACCTTCCGCCGGCGGTGTCGCGAGCGGTTCAGGGGAAGGCTGCGGCCTGGAGGTTGAGAAAGGAGTCAAATGCAGTGGCCATGTCGCCGGAATCGGGAGATTCTGGGACGGTTTCGAGATCGAACATGTGTTCGAACGGAGACTGGTCCATCTCTGCCGGTACCATCGCCAGGAGCTGATTACTGGGGTCTGGAGAAGTGTTGGAGAGTTGCGTGTGTTGGATGTGCGTTGGAGTGGAGCGATGCGTGTGTTTAGGCTGCTTTTAGGGATAAGGTGAGAAGGCGCGCAGTTTATCCGCACGAAATGCACAGGCGCGTTCAAGGTTTCCCACAAACCAAGCCCAAACAGTCTCTTTGCTAGTGTTACAGGTAGTAGCGCGAATAGTCGCGTGACTATTCGCGTAACACAGTAAAATTACCGCTTCAATAATCGACTCGATAATTAGAGTGTTTCGTACAGCACCAAATAGGTATTTCGCTAGACTATATATTTCATGTATCTTTTCATTACAATCAACTATTGTTCTCACAATTGACTAGTACATGGATTGAAGACTCCCGCTGCAATATTCTACCAAGGAATAATCTCTGAAAGATCCTAAGGGCTTCTCTCGGCCCAACATGGTATGAGAGCAAGAGAGATTACGCTTTCCTAGAACACCGTTTAAATTCTTCAGTATTAAAAGCTTCATTATGATATGAAACTTATATGCTTTCTGGCAACAACGACAAAACCCACTTTAAGAGTGGAGGTGGTGGTTCGCATCAACCCTCTCCACCACCACTATCTGGTCTTACAGGGACCAACCTTGCTCCAATGGCTGCATCTGCAACTGGACCAGGAGACGCTGGAGGATCTTCCTGTCAAAACTGCATGTTCTTCCCTGTCCTTCACGTTTTGACACTCTCCCGTCCTTCACGTTCAACGCCGATGGAGATGGATCCGGAACCGGATCACCTCCAGTAGCCATTGATCATGCAATACAACAGCAAGTTATGAGTGTCATACCAATGTATTTCGGACCGCACAACAAGCACCACAAGCTTCAGTATCAGTGAATATGGGGCCGATGGTTTTACTCACGCACAACATCAACATCAGCAGGTCCTCATCAAGTTCCGCCTCGACAGCAGTCGCGAACCTCCTTCGTGTTCGTACCCTTCGGAGTACCTGCGCAACAACAACAACAACAACAACAACAACAACAACAACAACAACAACAACAACAACAACAACAACAACAACAACAACAACAACAACAACAACAACAACAACAACAACAACAACAACAGCAACAACAACAACAACAACAACAACAACAACAACAACAACAACAACAACACCAAAAACAACAACAACAACAACAACAACAACAACAACAACAACAACAACAACAACAACAACAACACCAACAACAACAACAACAACAACAACAACAAAAACAACAACAACAACAACAACAACAACAACAACAACAACAACAACGTGATGGAGATGGAGGTTTGGGAGTCAGAGATGCTACAAATTATCAAACTCAAATGTTGAACATCCTTTCGACAACAAAGACTTCTTAGCCTGGAGTTTCGAATTCGAGCTGATGATGGAAGCAGCACAGATCTGGGAGTACTCCACAAGAGAGGCGCAGTTTCCCTTAAACGGCACCCCAGAAGAACAACGCGGCTTTGGTTTCCAGTCGATGATGGCGTTTACTGTTCTTCTTTGTAACCTGTCACCAACAGAACAGCAGGTCATCAGGTCTAACAGGGACTTAGCAAACTTAGCAGAGTTAGCATGGCAACATCTAAAGCGGCTTGATCAAGCAACGGACAGCATCACACAGAGGAGACTCATCTCGCAATTGACCAATGTTTAGATGAAGGCAGGAGAGCACGCGCTACAATACACCAGCAGATGCCGAGAATTAAGAGACCAGTTTGTGAGAAGCGGAGGCAACTTATCTGAGTCCATGTTTGTAACAGTCGTCATCGCTGGACTTGGACCTTAGTGGCGCCAGACACGGTCTCTTCTTCAAACTCAAGGAAACTTCTTGGAGATACACCTTTGCGCAACTCTTCTTGCTGAACAACAAGACATGGACTTCTACGATCAACAGCAGAAGCAACAGCAATAGTGACAACAACAACATTAGTACTACGAACCACCATAGTGTTATCATTGTAAAACTTATGGACACTCGCGTAATCAGTGTCCTCAGCTTCGACAGTCAACTCCTCAGCGCACCATCGCAAATCCTCCACAGGTTGCCGCCGCTACTGCTTCAGCTGCTCAAGTCAAACCATAGACTGCATCAGCATCGAAAGGCCGGTACGTTCAAGCTTGGATGACACGTACGGTGTACCAGGCTCACCTCCGACCTTTGCACCCAATGATTTGGAGCCGATTGCGACTAATCTTCAAGTTAATCCACCGTACGCCAACGTCTCAGCAAGTGCAGAATCAGGCCCCAACGCCTGGTTCCTCGACAGTTGCTGCGCACAACACATGTGCATGTCACACATCAGCAACGTATTTTTTCGTTAAACATGAAACACGACTTCAACTTGAAGTGACAGTTACAGTTGCCAACAATCAAACGTTACGTACCCGGCGCCGATGCATGGTTCTTCTTCAGTCGCCGGAGACAAACACGATCATTCAGCTCTCCCACGTCCTCATTGTGCCCGGTCTCGGTTACAACCTTCTCAGATTTTGTCAACTCATTGGACGAGGAGTGCACATGGAGTGTGACAGTGAAAACAAGGAATGTCGGCTATACTCTTCAAGGGTAGGCTTTTACCTGGCAAAAGCAATACAGCAAGGAGGGGTGTTTGTACTAAACGTGTAACGCATTGGGACTTCAGCAGATAGCAACCGAGTTTTTGCCTTCGGTTCTTGGACGGATTGCCATCCAAAGGAGCTCAAGACTGAACCAGATTATCTCGAATTCCTGCGAGAAGACGTCACTGTTAGAATATATCTGTAACTGCCTGTAGCTGTAGTTAGTGTAGTTATTATAAACTTGTTGGTGGTGCACCTTCTTTGCATCCTATGTTTGCTATATGTACCCTAGTGCTATAGTGAACTTCATTCTCCTCTCTCGACTCTCTCTGCTTGGCACAAACCACCTCGACTCCCTTGGCCTAGGCTACTAAGCCTAGGCCCTCACCTAAACTTTGCCTTCTATTTCGACAGTCACACCGATAGCATCGGAAGCTGTAACACCCGGAACTTCACAAGCAGTAGCTGAATCAATGAGTACTAGTGGGGAAGCAGTAGAACAGATACAACATCCATCCATAGCTTCGACATCTTCATACACGACTGCTACTCTTGTCCTCGAAACTTCTGCTACTCGGCGCGGTAATATAAAAACATAGTCACACCGGAGTCGTGCAAACTTCAACGCCATCTACGCCAACTCCGATCTTTATCGGCGATCTGCAGGACACGCAACATCAGAAGACACATGTCATAAAAGGTTAGGACATCCGAGCGGTTCAACTACCTACAATAATATTCGAGCAGGAGTTCTTGATAAGGACGCCTTCCTTCTTATCGGTGCTGAAGAGCTTCGTCGTCCTCGACACATCTGTACGCTGTGCTCAGAAGCTCATCTTCCACGTCAACCATTTCTTTAGTATCACAACCCGAGCGCACCTGCATACAAACCACTCGAAAAGGTTTACAATGATATACTGGTTATTCCACGGCAAGAAGGGCGGGTGTGAATTGCGTGATTCCACAGCCACACGCTATGTCTGGCATGCACTCATCTTGTCCCGTGATCTCGTCTACAAAGCCTTCGTCGCATGGCTACCTGCAATTGAACGAGAAGAGACTTGAAGCTCAAGATTTTCTAGACAGACAGTGCTTTCGAGTACCTCTGTCAACGTTTTCGTGAATACATGGCTGAAAGGGGAATCAAGAAGCTGCAGTTACTGCTTTACCAGCATCAGCAACAAGGTGTGGCAGAAAGGATGAACAGGACACTACAGGTCGTCATGCACAAACTTCTCATGGAAGCACGCCTGCCAGCGCACCTCTTGCTGTTTGCGATGGACCATGCCGTGTTGTTGCACAATCTTCTGTCATCCCACTCCCTGCCAAACGTCGAAGATCGTGTGGTAGTTCTGGCACAAGACGTACTGTTTTACGAGCGCCTCACTTACACACTTGGCAACACCAACGCATCAACGGCGAAGAATTGACAGCTGGGTTTACTGGTGCACGCCCCTTCGGCACAGAAACCAACGAAGCTGACGCAGTTAAAGAAGCAATTTCTGGTGCGACAGCAACTGCCGGTGGTGCCCCATACTGCTCAGTTCCGATCGAGATCGACAAAGAAGATCCCCACAATCACGTCAACGCCGAAGTCTACTACGATCGTGTTGATAACAGGGCAACTACACCGCTTCCAATTGCCCTCTGACGAAAGCGAACGGTTGGGTCCCGGTTTTAACTTCGATCCTGAAGCTAGTGATGGATATGCTATTAGCAAGATAGAGATGCAGACCCGTTATCGATAGCCCGATTTACAGATACTGAGACTTGCTGTCGAAGTACATCATCGTACGATTCCTACTGAACCGAAAACTCTCGAACATGCACTCAAGGGTCCTCACCGCGAGAAATGGCGCGAAGCCATGGACAGGGAGCTGAAGGCGCTGTCAGAACATATATATAGCTTATGCTGTTGTGTAGGCTATAGTGGGGTATCCCATAGGGGGTACAACCCAATTAGGGTTTCCCATATGTACTCACTTCATTCATAGTTCATTCATTCTCGTTCTACTTTTCTCATGGTATCGAGCAGGTTCCCTCGTGGGAACTGTTCCTAGGGCCCACCGTTTTTTTTTTCCTGCCCGGAGCGCACTCTGCCCCTACCCGAGTCGCGCTCCCCTCTCTCTTGGCCCCTAGTGG